TTCTGAAAGGGGCATCACACACAGAAAGAAACAACCAGTATTAGCCTTACTAAAAATATACCAAAAAGTAAAGAGCACCAACATAAAGAAGAATTTTCATCAATGAATGTATCAAACAGCCAGTTAATATCAAATGGCAGTAACCCTGAATTTAAATCGACTAAATCCCCCAATCAAAAGACACAGCCAAAACCCAACGACATGTTACATCCAGACCTGTTTCATATGCAAGGATACACAAAGACTCAAAACAAAGGAATGGAGAAAGATTTACCAACCAAATGGAGAGCAAAAATAAATAAATAAATAAATAAATAAAAAGCAGGAGTTGCAATTCTTGTATCGGATAAAATAGATTTTAAAGCAACAAAGATATAGTGGTAAAAGGATCAATACAACAACAAGAGCTAACGATCCTAACACCCAGATATATAGAGACTTAGATTCAATGAGACAAAAAATTAATAAGGATATCAAGGACTCGAACTCAGATCCAGAACAAGTAAACTTAATAAATATTTATAGAGCTCTGCACTTCAAATACATAAAATATACATTCTTGTCAATACCACATCACACCTACTCATAAATGAAACATTGGCCATTATTCATACCCATTTTTTTTTTCAGAATAAAGCAATATTTCCATTCACCCTCCCTGTCTCTCTTCCTCTTTCTTTCTCTACTTTACTCATTTTTTTTTCTTTCCTTCTCTCAAAAAAAGAAATCAACTTGTAAACCTCTATCTAGATCCAGGTCGGCAATGTCTCTCTCATTGCTTGAATTCCTTCCTTCCCTTCCCTCCCTCCCTCTCTCCCTCCTCCCCTTCCTCCCTTCCTTCCTTCATCCCTTCCTTCCTCCCTCCCTTCCTCCTTCCCTCCCTTCCTGCCTTCCTCCCTTCCTCCTAACCTCCCTAAAAAAAAAAAAAATCCACCCCAAACTCCCAGAACCATAAGAAGTACCACAGTACCACAGCTTCCTTAAGGTTGTCAGCAATGTCTAATATGCTGAAAACTGAAAAACCTTGGCAAGAGAAATTTTTAAAAGAAGCCCTAAATAAAGGGAGATATAAACCAGGTGAATGGAATAGAGACATAAGATTGTTAAATTGTCAGTTCTTTCTAAATGATCTACATAGTTCATATGCTTTGGCTATGTCTCTACCCAAATCTCATCTTGAACTATAGTTTCCATAATCCCCACATGTTGTGGGAGGACCTGTTTGGTGGTAATAGAATCATGGGAGTGGTTACCCTCATGTTGTATTCTAGATAGTGAGTGAGTTCTCATGAGATCTGATGGCTTTTTTGGTCATTGTTTTTTGTTGAGACAAGTCTTGCTCTAACACCTAGGCTGGAGTGCAATGGCACAATGAAATCTGATGGTTTTATAAAGGGCTTTTGCCAGTTTTGTTCTGCACTTCTCATTCCTGCCACCTTGTTAAGAAAGACATGTTTGCTTTCCCTTCCACCATGATTGTGAGTTTCTTGAGGCCTCCCAGCCCTGCAGAAATGTTAGTCAATTAAACCTCTTTATAAACTAACTAGTCTTGGGAAGTTCTTTATAGTAATAGAGAATGAACAAATACAGTACTCAACAAATCCTGGTTAAAAATCCCAGCAGGCTAATCAGTAGATATGGGAACACTAATCTAAAAGTTTTTATAGAAACAAAAAGAAATTAAATAGCCAAACAATTTTGGGAGAAAAAAATGTGAAAGATGACTAAATTTACAGAAATTAGAAAAGGGGGTGCTAAAGTAAAAAAAAAGATATATGGATCAATAAAATAGAATAGCAAACTCGAATATAGAATCATACAGACATGGTTAATAGATTTTCAACATAAATGACAAGGTAATTAAATGGAAGAAAGTCTTCTCAACAAATAATGCTGGAATAACTGAGTCATGGAAACAGCTGAAACTCAACCCTCACTTGACACCATACATAAATAAAACTCAATGTGGTTCATCAGGCTAACTGAAATTTCTAGAAAATAAAAAGAAAGAAATCTTTGCAAGCTTGAAGAAGGCACACACTTCTAGATTGGACACAAAAAATAAACTATAAACAAATAGTGTATGTGAATATATTGAACTTTATTGAGATTAAAAACTTCTATTCTTCCTAATAAAAATGTTAAGAAATGAAGGAAAAAGCCAGAGATTGGGTAATACATAATCTGGCAAAGGACCTGTATGTAGAAAATATAAAATACTCTTAAACTTAAGAACATGCACACACACTTTAAACTAAAATGCCCAAAGGTTTAAACAGACACTTTATAAAAGAGGATGTACAAATGACCAATAAGCACATGAAAAGATGCTCAACTCTTCAGTCAGACTACAGACTCACAAGAATGGCTACATTTAAAAACCAATGCCAAGTGATGAAGAGGGAATAGAACAACTGGAATTCTCATACACTGCTCTTAGGATTTCAAAATAGTACAACCACTTTGGAAAAGAGTATGACAGTTTTTTCTCTCTCTCTTTTCTTTCTTTCTTTCTCTTTCTTTCTTTCTTTCTTTCTTTCTTTCTTTCTTTCTTTCTTTCTTTCTTTCTTTCTTTTTCTTTCTTTTTTTGAGACAGACTCTTGCTTTGTAGCCCAGGCTGGAATGCAGTGGCATGATCTCTGCTCACTGCAACCTCTGCATCCCAGGTCCCCTTTCAAGCAATTCTCCCCTCAGCCTCCCGAGTAGCTGGAATTATAGGCACATGCCACCATGCCCAGGTAATTTTTTGTGTTTTTAGTAGAGATGGGGTTTCATCATGTTGGTCAGGCTGGTCTTGAACTCCTCACTTTGTGATCCACCCACCTTTGCCTCCCAAAGTGCTGGGATTGCAGGCATGAGCTACCGCACCCAGCCAGTGGTTTTTTCAAAAGTTTAAAATACATACCTACCATATGATCTGGAGATTCCACTCCTACCTACTTGTTTAACAAAAGTGAAAATATAGTTTACAAAGATTTTACCTGAATGTTCACAAGTAGTTTTATTCTCACAGTTCCCAAAACCTGGAAACCAACAAAATTTCTAACCACAGGTAAATGGTTAAAATAGAATGTGTTGTACACATACAATGGAAAATAGCACTACAGCAAAAAGGTAAACTATTGATGCAGTAATATCATAGATGAATCTCAAAAAATGCTGAGCAAAAGAAAAACATGAAAGATTTTATTAAACATTCATTTATATGAAATTTTAGAAGAGGCTAAACTATTTTACTGTGAAAAGCAAATAATTCATTGCCTGGGCCCAGGGATGGAGGAATCGACTGGAAGTATCATACAGGTATTTTTGGGGGAGTGGTGAAAGTATTCTATGTCTTAATTTGGTGGTATATATGAGTTATACATTTTTCCAAAACTCATTATATTATACACTTAAGATGGGTGCCTTTTATTATCTGTAAGTTATCCTTCAATAAAATTTTAAGGGAAAAAAGGAAAAACTTGGGGACCATGCTCAAACTTGGCCAAATAGACTAAGTTCTCTAAAACTTAACCCCCTCTTCTCAGTTTGAAAAAATTCCCAGAAAACCCCCACTCTTTCCTCACATGTCCCTGATATTTTCCCTTTGACTTCATCCTCTTAAGAAGTCATTATACCTACTTCTAACCTGGGATGTTCTTGTTACCATCACCACCCCAATTGCAGATCCTTCTGGGAAATAGGATATAGATTTCTAAACTCTGTCCTCACTACTAACTACCTAAAACAGGTATACAGATATTCTTTGTTTTACCACTTTTACTAGATTTATCTATGGAGAAAAAGACATAGATAATGACCACAACCAAGAATGGAAAAAAATACATACAAAATACTTCACAAGGGCATAAAATATACTCTCCATTCTAAGGTTTATCTCAATCTATGGGAAATGCAAAATATTTGACTTTGGAATCAGTCTGCAAAACTGAGAGTGCCCTGGATATCAGGATGAATTAGCAGAATCTATCTCTCCTCAGAATTTATTTCTTATTCTAAAAGCCAAGACTCCACCTTTTTCTGTTAATATCTTCCTAGTTCTCATGGAAGTAATAATAATGAACAAGCAAATGGTTGAGCAAATGAATGATGTTCCCATGGGTCTTCTAAATAGTCACTTTACTGAGAACATTCTAAAAGTAGACTCTTACAATAGGCTAACAGGTACCACACAAATTTCTGTTTCTGAACTTAAGGTGCTCATCCATACCTAGTCTATTGATCATCTTTTACAAAGAAATAGAAAACATATACATTTATAGATATTCTTCACAGTTGAAAGTTCTCTCACTTATTACCTTCAAATGTGTGAAATAATGGATCATGACAGCAGTCCTTTCTTTACAGAGTATGCAAAGAGATAACCCATTCTCTGGTTGGCAGCCATGACAGTTGTCTACATGGCCCATCACAGGAAATGTCATTTCGCAATTTATACAGTTGTTAACAGTTTAGTTATGAAAACAAACAACTCTAAAATCTCAATACTGTGGTTTTCAACAACACATTTTTCACTCACAGGTCTAAGAGTTGCTGTTAACTCTGCTCAGCCCTGCTCTAAGTATCTTTTTATGCTGGGACCCAGGCTGGGCTGATTAAGAACTCTATCTGTGAAAACATGGTTTATATTATGTCCACATACATTCCCTATTAAAGTCACATGCCCAAGCTTGCCAATGGCACTGGAGATATATTCTACCTAGTGGATTGCAGTGGTAGTCAGATGGCAAAAGGAGTGGGTATATACCTCTTGGGAAAGAAACAGGTAGTAGGGAACAATAATAAAATCTATGACATGTGGTTAACTAAACTTTTATAAAAGGACCCATTCAGAAAAAGGCCATGCTGTCCCTTGTAATTTCTCAAGTCATCTACAACTTAAGGAAATAGAAAAAGCAGTCATTACCCCTTGATATATCTGCATATATCTAATATTAAGTGCAAAAATGTATTCTAAATAGATATGAAAAGAGACATGGCAGTTTCTGGAAAGATACCTTGAGGTTGTGGCTTGTCTGCCATTCACCAGATGCCCAGAATCAGTTACACAGCAAGCATGAAAACCTGGATGACAAAAAAAGAAAAATCTGATTGAATCATGAGGGAAGCGAAATACTCTTTCATTCATCTGTTCTGAGTGAAAATATATACAATTTAAATGAATATAATTTCCTCCAGCTACCCAAGTGTGATTTACTTTAATAAGCCACTAATTGATATGCTAAACTTATTATTTTCACCAAGTCTTCACATCTTATTATACATGTCAACTAGCCACTGAGATAACCACTGCCATCTCCTCTAAAAAGCCTATTGGAAACAATCCTGGTATTAGCCATTCATTTTTTGTTCATAAAAGAGAGCTAAGGAGTCCTAAATTAGAAAATAATGATTTTAAAGCCCAGCCTTGGGTGCAGATAAACAGATTCATTAAGATGGACTCTTGAGACAAAATGGCATAAAAGAATGCTACTACCTTATGTACTTTATGTAAATGTTTTTAGTAAATCTTCTTTCCAATTTACTTTATAAGAGAGATTCAAAACTTGAAGGGCTAGCCAAACAGGCTAAGTTTTCTGAAATCCATGGAAAAAACAGGCAGATATCTGCTTAGACCAGAACCTTCTTGTTTTTATGCTAAGTAATTAGAAAGATAAGAACTTCATTGAGTTTACTAGGTAGTATCACCAAAATCACCACCCAAGGGAAGGAAATGTGGCCCTAAGAGCCTTAAAAATTAAGGAGGGCAGCAACACTTTCTTTGTTAGAAATTAGGGAAAATCACTTTCCTTCTTTGGTAGCCAGTTTTCCCTGATTCCTGCCTCCTGCTAATTAGACCTCTGTAGAACCCCTTCTACATTGTAGCAAGAATGTTTTTTATGACCAGTAATGCATATGGCTTAAGTAATGGCATGTCATTACCAAGATCAGTCAGTTATAAAAGTCTTATTTTCAACAAGTCTTGATTGTAAAACTTGGTGGCTTATGCCTTGGGCATTCTCTCTCTCTTAGATTGCTCACTCTAGGGAAAGTGAGCTTCTATGTTGCACACTTCCCTATGGAGAGGCCAATATGACAGGGAACTGATAGATGCCTCTGACTAACAAGCAGAAAGAAAATAAAGCCCTCAATCCAGCAGTCTGTGAGGAACTGAGGACTGCTGACAACTACGTGAATGAACTCAGAAGATCCTCCTCAGTTGAGCCTTTAGATGAAACTGCAACCCTGGCCAACAACTTGACTGAAAAAACAAGACAGATCTTCAGCCAAACCAGCTAGCTAAACCATTTCCAGATTCAAGACCCACAAAATCTGTAAAACAGCAAATCGTGGTTGTTTTAAGCTGCTATTTTAGAGTAATTTGTTATATAACAATAGATATGTAACATACCCTCACAAAGCTATGTCTGTTAGATCTTATTCTTCAAAGAACAAAGACAAAAATAAGGCCTTTGTTCTTTGTTTCTTACTTGTTCTAATTTTTCTTTAGTATTAAATCAATGTCAATATTTTATCATATGCACCTTCTAATTTCTAATAATATCCAGAATCTTAAATTATATCTATAACTATATAATTACACATGTATATATACATATGTATAATTAGACATACATAAATGTATATATAACTATAATATATACTTTATGTATTATATATAATAAAATATATAAATATATATGTTGCATTAGTTCATTCTCATACTGCTAATAAAGATATACTCAATACTGGGTAGTTTATAAGGGAAAAGAAATTTAATTGAATGACATTTCACATGGCTAGGAGGCCTTGGAAACTTATAATGTTGGCAGAAGGAAAAGGAGATGTGTCCTTCTTCACATGGTGACAGGAGACAGAATATGAGCAAAGGGGGGAAAAGCCCCTTATAAAACCATCAGATCTTGTGAGAACTCACTCACTATCATTAGAGGATAATGAAGGAAACTGTCCCCATGATTCAATTACTTTCCACCAGGTCTTTCCCATGATAGGTGGAGATTATGGGAACACTTCAAGATAAGATTTGGGTGGGGACACAGCCAAACCACATCAAGGGTCAATATCTAGCAATATAAAATTTCCCCTTGTATGGTGGGAAGTTAAAAATCTACTTTTTGTGATATATAATTCATTTTATAGGCATTGAGTAATGTAATATGCAGTGATAAGACAGTATTCTTGTTGCTTCTGTTAGACTATCACAACAGTCACCAAACTTCTCCATTTTTAAATAATCATACTAGAAAAAATTTAGTGTAATATTAATGTTTATATAATTGCCACTTATGTTACTTTTGGGCATTATTATTTTTATATATTTTATTTTTTATTTTATTTATTTTTTAGATGCAGAGTCTTGCTCTCCTGCCGAGGTGTGAGGTCAGTGGTGTGATCAGAGTTCACTGTAAACTCAAATTCCTGGGCTCAAGCCATTTTCCTGCCTCAGTCTTTCAAGTCGTTGAAACTACAGCTGTGTGCCATGATGCCTGGCTAATGGTTTTTCTTTTTTGTAGTGACAAGATTTTACTATGTTGCCAAGGCTGCTCTCAAACTCCAGGGCTCAATAAATCCTACCACCTTGGCCTCCCAAAGCACTGGAATTACAGGTATAAGCCAACATACCCTGGCCTCAATATTATTTTAATACTTATCACACTAACTTGTGAAACAAAACAGTTCTTATTAGGTTGTTTTGTTCAACATTATAAATGTTTTTATTGAGAGAGTCACATATAAAAGAAAAAACATATATTGAAAATAGAATGAAAAGTAAATATCAAAATGAATATTTGTAGTTGTTATTAAGGCATCCTAAAATTTCAGTGTGTCCTTGGAAAAATCCAATCTTGATGTTACTAAAATTTGAGAATGAAGTTCATGTATATAGTAAAAACTGGTTTGAACAAATTTTTCCTCTGGTTACACTGACTTGAATTGATTAACCTGTTGACAGATTTGAAAAACGTGTTTGGTTAGTAGTGATATAAAAGCTAACATATAATGAGTATTTTATAATAAATGCAAGTTTGTGTACTTGAAACACCTGACCACAGATTTTGTTACTCTAAACTGGAGTAGGATGAAGTTTTTATTTATTTATATGTATGTATGTATGTATGTATTTCTTGAGACAGAATCTTGCCCTGACAGCAAGGATGGAGTACAATGGAGCAACTGCAGCTCACTGCAACCTCTACCTCTCAGGTTCAAGTGATTCTCCCATCTCAAACTCTGAAGTAGCTGAGACTACAGGCACCTGCCACCACACCCAGCTTATTTTTATATTTTTAGTGCAGTCAGGGTTTCACCATGTTGGCCAGGCTGGTCTTGAACTCCTGATCTCAAGTGATCTACACTCCTTGGCCTCCCAAAGTGCTAGGATCACAGGCATGAGCTACCATGCCCGGATGAAGGCTGAAGTTTCTAAAATTATAACTCAATTGTCCATGGTTCTACTGTTAGTAAGTAGCAGAGGATTTATACCCAAACTGTCTTGCTCTAGAATCCCTGCACTGTACTGTAGTCCAGGACCCATGTGACTGGTAATGTACTTCTCCATTCTTCATTACCATTCTTTCTTCTAAACTCCTGCAGGTTTAAATACACCTTACGCCAGAAATGTGACAGACTGAAATGTATGTCTCCCAAAATTCATATGTTGAAACCTTATCATTAGTGTGATGGTATTTGCAGGTGGGGCCTTTAGGCAGTGATTAGGTCATGAGTCCTCATGAATGGTATTATTACCCTAATAAAAGAGGTAATAACCAGAGAGCTCCTTCATTCTTCGGCCATGTGAGAACACAATGAGAAGTTTGCCATCTATGCACCTAGTGGCATATTGATCGTGGACTTCCCAGCCTCCAGAAATACAAGAAATACATTTCTGTTGTTTATAAGCCACCAGTCTGTCATATTCTGTTACAGTAGCCTGAATGGAATAAGACAACTTCTACGGATTGAATATGTTCCCCTAAAGTTAATGTGTTAGAAATTCATCATTGTTACAGTACTAAGAAGAGAAACCCTTGAGAGGTAAGTAGATTAATGCATTTATTACTGGAGTTCAGCCCTCTTTTTCTCAACCACTCATATGACCTTCTGCCTTTTTACTCTACCGCCCCTCTGCCATAGAATAATACAGCATCATGGCCCTTGAAAGAGGTTGGAACCATGCTTTTGGACTTCCCATCCTTCAAAACTATGAGCCAAATAAGTTTCTATTGTTTGTAAATTACCCAGTCTCAGGTATTCTGGTATAGCAGTAGAAAATAGACTAAGGCAACAATGTAGGATTCAGAATGATGGTGATGATAGTGATGATAAAAGTGAACATGATTATGATGATAGTTTTGCATATTAAGAAGGGGAAAATGAGGCACAGCAATCTTTCATTGTTTAATGTAGAAAAAGCAGTAAATTAAAACATTTAAAAAAACTGTAATTGAGCTCCAGCTCTGCCATAAAATCCAATCATCTCTATGAGTTAGTAAAATGACACATAATTTTTTTTATTTATAAAGTAAGTTGGTTGAACAAGATTAATTTATTTTCATTTTATCAGCCCCTACATATATGTCTTATCTAATGTTAGCACCTTGAAATTCAGGGCTATATTTAATGTATCTATTTTCTCATTAACACAAAAGTAGAAGCAGCTCAACAAATAACGTGGACTTTCTATGAACTCTAATTTAAAAGGGAACAAAATGCTACTCTCCCTATTAGAATCTTTTATCAACTACATCATTAAGTTTCCTTTTCTGATGTTCTTGAATTTGTGAAATTCTCCTATGATACCTCTAACTCCACGACCAATGTTTCTTTCATCATGATAAAATGTCTTCTTTACTAATTTATTACTATATATAAGGTCCAAGAAATTTATGTAATTTTCTACTAAAGTGCTGTATGCTATTAAAATGAGATGTTCATTTCTATATATTCAAAGATTTTCATAATTATTTCTCTAATTTTTGCAAAAATTTGTTTTTTCACCTATGAAAGCCAAATTCTGGCCTCTGTACCAATCTATCATTTGTCAATTTATTAGACTAAATGAT